TTTGGTCAGCTTTGGGTTGCACAGCCATGCAACTTTCATGAATATCTAGCAGAGCAGCTTCGGCGACACTGAATGCTTCCAAGTTGACGGGTTGAATATTGTCCCGCAATCACGAGCCTCACGGCTTCCTTTCATGATGTCAGTGTGTGTGTACATATATATATATACACGTGTATATATATATATATATATATTATGTTTGTATATTAATGTGCACGTACTCCTTCTTGTACTGGTGTGATGTGACGGAATGACTTGAATTGATTTGCTTTAGTTTCATTGAATCATTGATTGATGGCAGCGAAATCACGAGCCTCACGGCTTCTTTCCATCATGTCCATGCATATGTCTATATGTATATATGTATATATGTTTGTATGTATATATATATGTGTGTGTGTGCATGTGTATATATACATGTATATACGTATCTGTATATGTATATACATATATATATGTATGTATGTATATTGATGTACACATATTCTTTCCTAGACTGATGCTTGAACTGTTTTGCTTTCAATTGATTGAATCAATGATTGATGGCAAACCCAGCAGCCATGAACTTTAAAGCCTTAGACTGATTGTGCTTGAAGAAACAGCTCTCTTCCTGTTTATGTATTGCTATATGTATATATATATATATATATATGTATATGCTTCCATATGCATACAGACACACACACATATGTATATAAATATGTAAATATATATATATATATATATATATATATTTATATATGCAGGACCGCAAGGGCTATCCACGAAATCCAGAATCTGAATTATATATTTTTTTTTACTAAAAAAAATCAGAATCTGAATTATTGGTGCTTGTTGCTTCCTTTTGTGTTGCCTTCCCAAAAAATAATTATTCTGGAATCCCGGTTACAACCAAGCAAACGGCTTCAAGGCTTCAATCTAGCCCAAGGGCTTTTCCAAAAACTAAGCACCCCCTGTAGGACAAGGCTTGGTTGCAATGTGAAACCACCCATGCACTTCTCTTGTTTTGGCACACACGAAGCAGCTGGTCTGTGCAGTAGTGAAGTGAAGCAAAGTCGCCGTGCTTTCCCCGCCGGACAGCAACAGCTGCTATGCTCTTTACAAGCCCTTGGGCTAGACAATCCTTAGAAAGTTTATTTATTGGTTTAAGGAAGACGGCTTGGCGACGAAAGTGCACACTAGAAGGCATTATGTTTGCGAAGTCGCAAAACAAACAACAGCAACCCAACTTGCCCAACAGTAGCCCGAAAGCTGTTGTGAAACGGCGACTCGCAAACGTGGTTTAGCTTGGCCATGGCTACCTGAGGAGTTTTGGGTTTCGCCTGGAGACTATAAGCTTTAGCCCTGAGGCTTCTCTGGTGAGGCCGTTAATTAAGTTTCTGAATTATTGATACATATTTTTGAAAAGCAATTCAGATTCTGAATTGGTTATGGTATCCGTAATTCAGAAACTTAATTCTTGGTTTTATTTTTTAAGATACAATTAAAATCCTGAATTATGGATGGCTACTGGCTTCTTTAGAACAATACAAGGGTTTAGTAGGACAGGTTGCACCACAGCCCCAAGGCTTCTCCTCAGGTCCATGTCTGGCGACGAGCAGGGTCCTGGGATTGGTAATAGTAATGCCAATCCCAGCCGTATCGCTCGAGAGCATTTCGGTGAAGATCCAAGCACTGACAGAACTCAGGAGTGTCGTTGTACCTGAATGTATTCATGGTTTAGGATTGTAGTCAATGAAAGTTTTATTGTCGGGAGAGCAAAGGAGCTTACAGGTTTCAGGGTTCAAAGGTTTGTAGATTCATGGTTGAAGGGTTGAAATCTAAGGTTTGGGGTGTGGGGTGGAGTTGTAGTGTAAGGTTCTCGATGCAGAAAAATTGTTTCAAGCTTTGAAGCTGCAAAAATTCAGAAACTGAATTTATTATTAAAAAAAAATACAAACAGTTCAGAATCTCAATTGCTGTTCCATCACAGCTGCACGTCGATCAGCCGCTTGGCTTCTTCGCGATCGCCTTTCAGCACTTGGCCAGCCAGAGCCACACACTTGTTCATCCACCTGAGATGTGCAACCCAAGCCCGACAGCTTCTATATGTGTAAACAACCATTGTAGCCGATTGGCTCTTTAATCGAAACAAATTATTTACCCATGCCTTGTCTTCCTTAACTACCTACCTACCTACCACCCTATACCTCTAATCTATAGTTACCGAGATATATACTTAAAGATATATAAGGGAGCTACACCTGCCTATATCATATATATATATATGTATATATACATACATATCTATGCATGTATGTATATAAACAACAGGTATGCATGTGCATATACATATATAGCAACATACATATAAGCATGCTTTAGAAATGTGGAGATGTGTACATATATATACATATATGTGTATATATCTGTGTGTGTTTATATACCCAGCCATGTTCTAGACACCCATTTATTATCTATGTCTGTATGTGTGTATCTATTGTCTATCTGTGGACAGACCTCTTTATCTATAGATCTACTTTTGCATATCACTATCTATGTCTTCATATCCACCCAAACCTCTCGATTTACACATATCGACCCTGTCGCTTGAGTTATCTCGAGCACAGAGAAGATCATGCTTCGCTTAAGAAGCCCGAAGGCTAGTTGCCCGAAGGCTGAACAATAGACACATGCTTTGCCTAAGAAGCCCGGACACTTTTTTAAGAAGCCCGAAGGCTATGTGTAAGCCAAGGAGCCCGGTCTTCAAATAGCCAGAGACATCGCCACGGTCAGTATAAAGCGGAGCTCTTCCTGCTTTTGCTTTTGCATCCGCTGACTGCTGTGGTGGCTGTGCAGGCATGCTCTTTGCTGCTGTTCCTGGTGGCTCTGCCTCTGCCAGCTCTGCAGCTTCTGGTTGCAAGGTCTCTGTTGGAGGTGGCCCTGGTGCTGTTGCTGCTGCTGCTGCTTTTGCTGCTGCTGCTGCTGCAGGAACCTCCTCTGCCGGAGCTGCTTCAGCTGGAACTGCTTTAGCTTTTGCAGCCTCTTCTGCTGGAGCTGCTTCAGCCGGACCTGCTTCTGCTGGAGCTTCTGGCGGAGCTGTTTCTGCTTTAGCTTTTGCTTCTGCAGCGAACTGATCCAGCAGGTGTTGGGGTGGACCCTTCACCCGAGGGAGAGCCACCTCATCGCCCAGGAAAACTCTGCCAGAACTCAGCCCGGAGGCTCCTCCACCAGACAGCCCGGAGGCTCCTCCACCAGATTTTGCTGGAGGCGGTCCTTTCGGCGGCGGAGGAGGAGGCAGCACAGGCGGTGGAGCAGGCACTACAGGTGGGCCCTTCGCTGCTGGGGAGCCCGCAGGCTTAGGCAGCACCGAGCCCGAAGGCGAGCCCGAAGGCTTCTCCACCCTGGCCTTCTTCACGGAGCTCTCGTCGCCACTCAAAGCGGGGAGTTCAACGATCTCAAAGAGAGCCTGGTTCCTTTCCTCGAGGCGAGTGACGTCCTTCAGAGCTTTCTCCAGCAGCTGGAAAGTCGTGCCTCGCCAGCTTTGCTCCAGTTCCACCTGGGCCTTCAAGTTGGCGATCTCGAAGTCCCTCTGCACGATCTGCTGGATGAGGTCTTGCATCGTCCTCAACTGTTTAATTACACAGCCCGAAGGCTTCTCCCAGAAAAAACAGCCCGAAGGCTTCCATCGAATGAACTTATATGATTTCTATTAGGCTTCAAGTAAATCAAGCCCAGGCACACGGTGTCTCTGCTGAGCTCAGGGTTCCAGCGGTCCAGGATGTCAGGGCTTACACCAGGAGCTTTTGCAGCTGCATGCTGAGCATCTGCACCACTAGGACCGCCGCTGCCAGTTGCCATGGCAGCTCGAGAGCTCGAGAGCTCTGGCTGCTGTGCTGTTGTTGCTGTTGCTCTGCTGTTGCTGTGCTGTTGCCCGGCTGGTGCTCTGCGGCTGCTGTGCTGCATGCTGCATCCTGCATCCTCTGTCGAGCACATGTGCTAACCGGCGGCACACATACATTCTGCTCCGAGGCACACATGCAGGCGCCTATGCACAGCCCTCGTGTCAGCTCACATGTGCACATGCCCTCGTGTCGGCTCACATGCACTGCTGGCCCACATCTGCAAGCCCGAAAGCTTCTGAAACAAATCTCGTGTCATGTCTACAGACAGACCCTGTACACCCTGAAGCCCAAACCCGATGCTGTTGCTTAACATACAGACATGAGCCCGAAGGCTTGGATCCCCGCTTCAGGGTAGAGGCTCGTTCCAGGATTCGAGATTTAGGCTTGGTCTTGGGTTGTGGCCACAAGCTTCCAGGTTTAGGGTTTTCTTCTTGAAAGCTAATAAGCCCGAAGGCTCCTCAGAAAACCTGGGGTAGTCATCAGTGCAGATATATATAGATAATATAAAGGTTTTGGGTCGGTCGGGGGTTCCTGTGGGTTTTGGTCTGCTGGCTGCAGGTGTATATACAATCTCGTTTTGAAAGCCAAGCCCGAAGGCTGCTGCTAAAACCTTGGACTGCAGAAACTCACCAATGCTTTTATAGGCATTAGGGTTGCGGGAATAGGGTTTCGGAATGTGTGAGCCCGAAAGCTTTGCATTCGTTGAGGTTCTCTTGAGGCTTATATCCTGTATATTGTCTAAACCCTAAAGCGTAAAACCCTAACCCCTATAAACCTTAAACCCTATACAAACCCGCACAGTCGTATAGGCATCAGCATGCTGCTGGAAACAACATATCTACTGTTGCCTAAAGCATGTTGGACTACTTTTTTTTTTTGACCTCGAAGTGCAAAATTTGCAAGGCTTGCCGGCCCAAAAGCCCAGGGTAAAATATACACATAGCAAAAGCTGTACAGATGATCTAAAGTCCAAGCACTGCCTTCGCAGAAGGGACGGAAAGAAAAAGCCCAGAGGCTGCAGCCCTGCATTGATCGAAGCAGCAAAGTCCAGCCACTGCATCTGCAGAAAGGACAAAACAGCAAGGAGCCAGAGGCTGCAGCACCCGAACTGTGCACTTAGTCCTCCGCATTCTCTGAGTCTTCGCTGGGTTGGTTCTTCTTGTCCTTCTTGAACTTGCCACTGCGGACATAGCTGCGAGTCGCCGCCTGGAACTCGAAGGGCTCACTGGTGAGGTAAGAGAAGACCACGTCCAAAGCCTCTGGCTCCAGCAACACCTGAACATCCTCAGACTTCTTGGTGCATGCCCTTACACAGACTGTGCGGCCGTCACCTATATTGATGTCCACGTGCTCCTTCTCCTGCTCAGCCTGCTGGCTCGCCTTCCGCTTCTTCGAACTCGAGCTCGAAAGCTGCTGATCGCTTCCGAACAAGTCGTCAGACTGTGGAAGCAGCTTCAGCATCTTGTTCCGCTCTGCCTGCAGCCATGACAAGCCCTTGCAAGCCCGGAGGCTGGGATTCTTG